TGCAAGCACGTCCAAGCTCACCGAGCCGTTTTCCCGATCGCGCGTAGAGCCGAGGGGGTCGCCGAATCACTCGCGAACCGCCGTCGCGAGCGAGCGAGCGAGCAGTTTTGGATGAAACAAAAGTCTTCAGAGTATCGTCTTGTCACCCAAAGAAGGAAACAAAACACCCACTAAAAAAGAACAGCGTGCGCTTTCCGGAGTTTAAAATAAAAATCATAATTCAATGCATCCAGGGAGTTCGTTTTAAGAAGCAGAGGAAAAAAAAATCCCCAACATTTTGCACATTTGTTACACAATAATACACAGTGGTCACAAAACGAAATGACAAGCTTCACAATATTCATGGCTTTTTGTTTGCTTTTCTACACAATATACAACCATTTAATTTTTTTTTTCAGTACAAGGGAGGAAAATGTTTCTGTACAATAAGTCATTATTACTTGAAACCTAGCAAATATTGTGTCATTTATCTCATAGTCGATACATTTGTCTTCTGTTTTTTTTTTCCAACGGCAATACAAATGAAAGATAACTCAGAAGAGGAATTCAGTCGGCAGAAATAATGAAGACTTTTCTGGGGGGGTGGGGGGGGGCAATTCCAAATAATCTGGAGTCAAATGACAAAGGGGTGGATGCAAACGGAGAAATCGCGAGAGAGACACGAGTTTTTTTGTTTTTTTTAAGCTTGGCAGCAAAAAAAAAAAAAAGATGCATGACATTAATTTTAAAACCAAAAGGCGCGTGGTATTAAAAAAAAATCCTGAACATCTCAGCAGAAAACCGTTTGGGTAAAAGGAAATGTGATTTGTTTTCTTTGACGACATGAAAATGGACCTCGTCCAAATGTAAACTTTAGTGTACATCTTTTCTTTTAGGTAGTTTCAGAGCCTTGGCCAAAGACTTTGCTCTCACTCGACTGTTGTGACCCAGTCACGGTCTGGATTGTTCAAGCATCATATTCTTTCGTCATCTTCCTCACCCGCATTCCAATCTCATCGGAGAAACACTCAAAGCTACTGGAAGCCAAAGCGATACGCGTCGCATGTGACGTACGCGTGCCGAAGGTGGGGATGGGCATCCTGACGGGTTCGGCAATTCATCCGAGAATTATGTTCAACGGAGGAATCGCATCTTTAAGCAACGGCGGACAAATCGAGCGCAGTCCCCGGGTGCGACCGGCAGGGGCGCCGTTGAGGAGGTCTCCGCGAATTTGCGGCCCAAAGAAGAACACGACAGCTGCGAGTGGCTTGAAATTGCAAAATGGTCAAATAAAAACCCAAATGCTTTGTCGGCATGTGACATCGCTGAAAAAAAAAGAAGCGGTTCGTTGGTTTGTTGTGTTCCAAATGGGACAATGAGACAAAAAAAAAAAATAATACAAATGCACAAAACAGGGTGACATTTAAGATAAAAGAAGTCAAGTTGATGAATGGTTGTTAGCTTAGCTTCAGCCGCTAGTTTTCACCAGCACACGGGTCACGTGAAAGGTCGCCGCATGCGCTCGTTACAAACGAAATGTGCTGTGGCTTGTCGTCTTCCAATTTAGCTTCAAGGAGGAAAAAAAATGCGCTCTTTAGAACAATAGCTTGAAAGGATTGCCGACTATTGAGTGAGTTGAAACGACGAGCGGCGACGAGTTGCTTGCTCAAATCAAGCGTCTCGCCAGGCTGCCGACGGTCCGACAAGAATACATTTGTTCTTGGGAACAATAATTGGAAAGTGTCGTTTGCCTATTTCGCTTGGCACTCGGCTGTGATTTGCTGGTTCAAATCCAAGGTGGCCACGTGACTTTGGAGCAAAACTAAGTGCTGCGGGTTGTGTTCTTTGAAAAACAATCATTTGGTTCCCTTTGAAAGTTTAACTTTTGACCTCGCCTAAATCAACCGAGTGGCAAAGTCACAGGAAAGGCGGCTTGGCGATGGCGGAGCGCTGTCGCCACGCCCCAAAACCACTCAGCCTTGCTTTAAGCTTTTCGACCGAGCTTCAATCGGAATACGTCGGGAGTTGCAAACCGTCACTTTAAAGTATGGTTTGACTAGTTAGCTTGGCTAAATCCGAGTTGCTCGCTCGCTGTGAAATAAAAAGGTGGCGACGTGAGCGCGCGGCGCCGCGTCAACTTGTCTACTCGGGAGTCAATGTCGTCCATTCTCCAGGAAACAACAAACATTTGGCTCTTGTTATCAAGCGTCTGAGAGAACATTGTTTTACAATACGGCATACGCCGGTGGCATTTGGCGAGGAGTCGCGAGCTCAAAGGAAAGGCGGCGATCGGGTCGGGTCGCCTTGTCAAATGATGTGGCGCGGCGGGACACAAAACGACATTTGGTGCTCTCTCGGTGTCGCAAAAGCGAGCCCCGCCCTTGAAGGCAGGGGTGTCCAAACGTCGGAGAGCCGCCGGCAGAGGAACGGAAGGACCAAAGGGCCGCTTCCCTGTTCGTCCACGCCAAAGTCAGTCCAGAAAGCATTGCATTGGAAACAAGCGCCGCCCCGGCCCCCAAGCGGTGAAGAATTTGAAAGGTGTCATGCCACGATTGCCATTTGCGTGCCGGCGGGGCGTCCGCACCAGACACGCACGCCTTTGGGGAAACTCTGCCGAACGCTGCGCCGACCGGTCCGGCCTTCGACAAACTGGCAGGGTCCCACCCTGACTCTTTGGGCCGCCACGCTCGCCGCTTCCAAATTTTCAAAGGAGTCGGATGGTGTTGGAGGTCTCACAAATGTGAACATCTTCGCCAACGAAAAAGCAAACCCATCGGAGAGCCAAATTCACTCTCTTCCTTTGTACAGCTATTTCACCGCAAGGAATTCTGGACGACGAGACACTGGTCAAAAAAAACCCCACCAAAAAAAAAAACAAAAAAAAACCCACAAACAATCCTTGGGACGGGGACAGCCTCTTTGCGCATTGTCCATGAAGCAGGACCACATTCTGCCTCGGTGGGACGTCGGCACACTTTCGAACGCGGCTTCGGAAAAGGCGAGCTCCCTATCGGGGACGGAGATTTGATCTGACGACAGCCTACCGAGGGGCGGTTTAAACACAAGAGAAATGGGGACGAGGCGGCAGGGAATCGCTTGCGCAGACGCCCTTGCCAATGGACTTTGAACGTGTCCAAATGAATACCAAACCTAAGAAGGGAAAGGAAATCAAACGTCCGCTCGGTGACGCTCGGTGTTTCTCATCAGCCAGCCTTACTCAACCTTGTTGCCGTCAAATCAAAGGTCATCCCGATCAATTCTTTTTCTGGATACGACCCCAAGTTTGGACCCGGATGGAGAACTTTAGGTGAGTGTTCCGATGCTTCGCCCTTACGTAGCGTCCTCGCAGGCCGGCTCGAACGCAGCGCCAGCCACTTGAGCTCCAACCTTTCCCAGAGCAACACCGCCAAACAAGTCAGCCATAAAACTCTCGAAGTCGGCTTCCAGACCTTAAGAGACTCTTAATTGTAACATTCGTTTCCATTTTTTTTTTGTTTTTCGTTTTATAAAAAAAAAAAAAACAAAAACAAAAAACTTTTTTTTTTTTCCAATTGGAAATATGCAAAGTGCTCCTCTGGAGTGAGGCAACTTGTGCGCACAACATGCACACAATAATGATTGATCCGTGTCTCTCCCGCAAAAGATATAATCCACATCCTTTGTTTCCTCCCTCTGATGCGAGTTATCTATACATAATCCATACAGAGATAGAGAGACAGATATATATTTTTTTCCATTTTTAACTTGGTTGATTATTATCGTCTCCCGAAGGCAAATACCTCTCAGGTCTGCCAACGTTTCAAGAGGAGACGCCGCATCAAAAAAAAAAAAAAAAAAAAAAGGGGGGGGGGGGGCGGGCAGGTTTGGGAGTGGTGGGGGCTGAAGCATCGGAAAATAAAATCCCAAAGCGAACGAAAAACCAGAATTCAAGGTTTGTAAGTCCAGACTTCCGGTTCGGGTGCAGAAAATGTGCTTCCACCTTCAAGCGTGGAGTCCTTGTTCACGTCGAAAGACCACGTGATGCCAAAGACGAGCTGGGGGAGGGTCCAAGTCGATGCATAACCAAAGGGGGTGGAAGCGGGAGGGTCATCAAATCCGCTGCGGTCGCCCTCCTTCCGGACGCGGCCTGCGTTGTGGGGGCGGAGTCGCGGAACGCTCGCTCTCTCTCTCCTGCAATCCCGAGGTGGGGGGGACGGCCGCCCATCCGGGAAAGGAGCAAAGCGGAAAAGGGCTCGAGCGCCGTGGGATTGGCTTTTCCATCCGCCAGCCGCTCCGGGCGGGTGAGCGTGGACGCTCGGAGGAGGGGGAACGGCCCACTCGCGCCGCGTCCCTCGGATGGCGGATGCTCCGTCCTCCGTGTCACGGGCCCTCGTTGAGAGCAGGCTCGGCTTTTTCTTTTGAAGACCAAACCGAACCGCGGCGAACTCAGCATTCCTGTCCCGACCAGTCGCTCTCCATTTTGAAAGTGGCGGATATCATTTGCTACCAAGCTTGACGCTTGCATAGTCACCAGAACGCACCCTGGTGATCTTCTGTTACTAGCAACGCTTCACTCTCAGCTTTATAGAGGAGAGGAGAGGAGCCACCCCCCCCCCCTCCCCCATGAAAAAGTCAAACGTGACCCTACGATGATTTCACCGTGGCTTCCTTCGACGAAGGGATGATGGCGAAGAAACATTTTAAAAAATTTAAAAAAAAGGATAAGAAGTCATCGTAACTGAGGTCCCTCCGCAAAGAAAGCACAAAAAACCAAAGCCGGGACTTGCATTTCAAGGGGAATCCCAATTGGGAGGCATGTTCCTTCCATTTGAGATGGGTTCACATTTTGTTGTCTTGGCGCGAGCTCTGAATGGGTCAGTTGAAGGTAGGCACAAGGACAGGCACTGCATGCGATGATGGGGGCAGGGGGGGCGGGGGCTGCGGGTGTCTCTCGGGGGCGAAGGGGGGACACATTGGCTGAGTGCTTGGGTGTGGCGTCGTACGACGGGGGCCCGGGCGACTGCGGACGGGCGTCTGGCCGCTCATTTCTGTCCGCTGATGGACTGCGATATGGATCGGGGGGGGATCATGTCCAACAGGTACTCTCGCTGCCGGTCCGCGAGGCTGGAGCTCTTATGGGCGCCCACCGCCGCCGGGTTCAGATAGGCGATGTTTAACCCTGCGGCGAGGAGACGGACAAACAGACAAAGAGAAATTAAAATAAAAAAATTGACGCCCCCCCCCCAAAAAAGGGCTGATTTCGATGAATCCCGCGGAAGCGAAAACAACAACAACAAGGTACCTGGGATGTTGTAAATCTGCCGACGGCTGTCGTGCTGCAGTCTGCCGCCGCCGCCGTTGCCGCCGCCGCAGTGCTTGGCGCCGCCCATCCCCATGAGGCTGCTGGCCACCGACAGCTGAGAGGCCTGGGCAAAGTTAGACAGGACGCCCCGCGCCGAATTGGACAGCCCTCTCTGCAGAGAAGCCTGGGGTTGAGGCGCCTGAGCGGGGAAACAAGCGGGGGGGCACGCAATTGCGGCCGGATGAGTTCAAAGGGCTCAAAAGGACCGACTCTCCGGCCCCCGGGTCTCGACGTGACCGGCGAGCTGTGTCGCGACACAACACGTCGACGGGCCCCCGGGTGAGCTCGGAGCGGACGAAACCCGATGACAGCCAAAAGCGCTCGGGGGCCGAAAGAGCGTGATCAGAAGCCCAAGTGGCTCCGGTGCGTAGTGACAAGAGGAAACCCCGCCCACTTCGTGGCCCCGGGCTTTTACCATGACAAACACCGGCGGAAAAAGAGCACTCCAACTCGCTCAGCTGAGTTGGAGGCGGATTCGAGCGCCCGCCCCCGTGTCCTGGGAGTTACCCCGACTGACACCAGACTCAACTCGCTCAGGTGAGCGCAAACCGGAGTAAACCGGCCCGCTCCGTTGACGTGTCAGATGCTTTGACTAGCAAAGCTTGTTCTGCGCGTTTGCTCGCATGCCCCGTTGACACAGACGACAGGATGAAAGGCATCGCTTTGAAGGGGGAAGTTGTGGCGCCGAGCGGGCAAAATTGCTTCATGAAGCAGTCCCAAGGAGCTCATCGACACTCGCGTATTCGGATCCGGAGTTGAGATGGCTCACTCGCATGTGCAAAGTGGCCTTTTTCCATTTTGCCCCCCCTCCCAATAAGCTTTTCGGAAAGGAGGCGGTGGCGCATTTTGAGCCGCGAGGTCAGTACCCGCGAGCGTCATTTGCCGCGCGTCGCGTGGGTATTCGGAGGCCGCGTACCTGGCGCAGAGCGTGGTGTCGGATCAGCGAGTCAGTCTTGGAGGCGTTGGGGCCGCTGGGGGCGGAGCCAGGCGAGAGGGCCGCCTGCTGCAGCCTCTGTTCGATCTCCTGAAAGGGAAGCGGTCATGTTTTTTTATAGGCCACGCCCAGACCGGCGGCGCTCAAATGAGTCCCAGTTCCCCCAAAGCGCCAAACTGTTTTGTTCGGGGTCCGAAACATGTCGGACACGCGCAACCCCCCCCCCAGAGTCTTACGCAACCGCTCGGATGCTGACCTGCTCCTGTTGTAGAGCCTTGACGAAGGCGTTCTTCAGCCTGTTGGTGTGCTCCGCCTTGAGAGCCTTTTTCTGATTGGACATCATGCACTGCTCGCACAGGATTCGCCCGCTCTTCTCCTGCTTCCAGTGGGGGGTGAAATCCGTTCTGCATTGGGCACAGAAGAAGGGCTCCGTGCGGGAAAGCGTTCCCCGCAGTTTGCCTGCCGAGCGGAGAGGAGAGGAGGGTACAAAAACGCCGACTTGCGGACTCGCTCCCGATACCCGTCCCGTTGACGGGTATCGGGACGCTGCGCGACCTCGCGAAAAGCCAGGCTCCCCCCCCCCCCCCCCCCCCCACCATCTCCCCCTCGCCCCCGTGGCGGGCG